CCTGCAGTTGTCTTACTCCAGACACAGAGAAAAAGAGGAGACAGGATGTGAATGGGAGGATCTGCTCACCCTGCCATTAATCTCACACACCCCCATTTACATTTGTTAAATATTAATGAATGATTAAAAAGTAAAATCTGACACATAAAGCTTGTTTAAAGGTGCTTTTAGTCTAATAATAATTTTAAAGTGGAAGATGGTTCTAAATCCTGAGATGGAATGCCTCACTTTGGTGAAATGTAATAAAATTTAAGCTCTAAAGTAATAATTATAAATCTGGAAACTATTTTTACAGTGTATGTCAAATTAACAGGTCTAATCCAAAGTTCCACAAAGTAAAGACATACAGGTATATTTTTATCTGAGGACACCAACATGTGCTTCCTATAAGCATACAAGATCAGTTTTAAGCCCCAGTATCCAAATGAAATGCTTTTATCATCCTCTGCATCATCAGTGCTGTCATCACCATACCTACTCTATTTATTATAAAGAAGTTTATAAAGAAAAAAACAGTTTGACCCAGTAGAATCTGATTTCAGATGTGGTGGGGCGTTTCTGTCACACATGACCTCCTAGATCATAGAACAGGACCACCTAATGACCACCTTTTTACCAAGTAACAGAAGTAACCCCTCTGTACATCTGTATAACCCCCTGTGCATCCACTATAAGCACAATAACAGCAATCATTTCATTATTCCAAATGCAAGAAACATGCATTTATCAGTGTATAGTATCTCTTTACCTCGGCCTCTGGAATAAAACCAATTTTAAAATACATTCCTGATGGCATTAACAATTACTCATAAAGGAGTATTACGCCGTATTTAGCTGTGCAAGGGATGGTGTGTTCATCATTATTGTAAAAAGGATCATCTTCACTACCACTGATAAAGAGGTATGCATGCGTTACTATGCACAAAATATAAATAAAAGTGTTTTTAAATCTTCTTACAGTGACAGACTTTATATTTGTGTTTTTGTGGAATAAACTAAAATGTATTAGGCCGAGCTGTTTTTTGTGTAGTGTCGTTTCAGCTTGAACTGCATATTGAGAATTATTGGCAAATGTGAAAGTGCATTTGATACACTCGCCTGTGCTTTATGTTGGTCAGCATCTTTGTAAAAAATGGGTAGCAAGCCTGAAAGTGGCACTAAGCTTGTTTCCTTTTAATTAAGCAGTGGATTGGTGCCCAAAAATGCAGCCAAGCGTGTTTGTTACGGAGTCCCAAAACACAAGAGTGCTTGTTTTGAGTATGGTGCCTCCACAGAGCAAATTTCATTTCATTTGACTCAAATTTGAACTCTCACAAGGCCACATCATCTGTACATTCAAACTCAGCCCTGCATACAGTGCTGTATTTGAAGTTGTTGAAATTCTACATTTGTGCATCTCAGTCTGTGTGGGGACAATAAAGATTTGTCACGGACCTAGAGTTATAGCACATATGAGAACATCATTCAATCACTCCACTGTTTTTTAGGATTGGCATACTGTATGTGATACACAGGTCACATCATGTAGGCTACTACTACTAATAAAGCCATCAGCTCTGCTCTGCCATTAATGTTTTGAGAAAATGTAATGGATGGAAGTCAGTCTTCAACCTCTCAGCTAGCTCTACAAAGTGAACCTTTTATTATCTCATGCTGTACATTCGTTTAGCCATGATTAAAGACAGAGACAACATGGCTTACCAGTCAAGGTCTGTGTTTATGTGTATGTGTGCATGTGCCTTGGCTTGCTGCCATCTTGAATATGAGACGTTGATAGATGTGTGTCACCTTGGCTCTCTTGACGACAGATGCTGAGTTATGGGGCCATAGGAACACCAGTGTGTGATAACAATGTTTCAGAGAACCACAATGCACTGCTGTCCCGCTGCCCTTCAGAAGATAATTTGCTCCTTAATTGCATACAGTATATTAACACAATGTCATCTTTGGCTGCTGTGGTAAACTGCATCAACACTGTAGGACTAAAGAGCATTTTACTTTACTGCAAGTGCAACAAAAAGGTTTCATATTATAAGCGTGATTACAAGAAACAGCAATTAACGAGGTCAACAGTCAAGGCTATACTAACCTTACTTAACAGTATTGTTTTGACCACAGAATGATGTAAGAGTTTATAGCTCTAAACAAGATTAAAGATTTTGAACTAAATGCTGTAGCATGCTATCATGCTCACAACAACAATGTACTGAGAGTAAAGGAGAAACTACAGTGGCCCTATCTACAGCTAGTGTTTGGTTTGTCCATTCTGTAGAAACATGGGGGTTCAACATGGCAGACTCCATTGAAGGTATTCCGTAGATAAAAACGGCTTCATTTAAGGTCATAAGAACACAATTCCTATTTTCAGGTGATTATACACTAATGAAAACATCCCTATGAATATTATATTCCATTTTCTGCCAATAGATCCTTAAAAACATACACACTGTACCTTTAAAACCAAAAATGTCAACCTGATGATGGTGCTCGCCAGGAGAGTCAGTACAAAATTCCATGGCAATCCATTCAATAGTTATTGTGATATTTCAATCTGGACCAAAGTGGTGGCCCTCCCTGGGGCCATGCAACTAGCTAAAAAGCATATTTCGGACAAAGCGATTTGTCAGAAAGACCCCCCACCCCAATAAGTTCTTTAAAGTAACCATTGACTGATGTGTATGACGGCGGCCTGTGGATCTGCCGGCTGTATAATTCCCCAGTGGTTGGCTGCCTGCAGACTAAACACATTATTATGGCAGTTTTATCTACAGTCTGGCAGTCACTCACACATCTCAAACCCAGATAACACCAAGGGAGGAGGCGGAGGATGTCATACTGTATTATAGCAGGAGGTGTGATAGAGATGCTGAGGAGGGGAGGCTGCACTCGCTGCTATGGGAGAAACCTCGTCTGTTTAACAGTGAATCAGAGCACACCGTATGAGTATGTCATCTATGATTATGCTTCCTAATAGATATCTTTATGTTGACAACACGTTTCCAGAGAAATGTATGCTTGCATACATTTCGTGTCGAGTCTGTGGCATGTGTGTATATATAGACAATGTGCGTGTCAGACATAAAAGAAAATATAAGGAGTGGAGAGATGAGCATGTATGAGAAAATGCTTTCTCATGTTTGCAGTTAATTTATCTTTCATCATATTTCAGGCCTTCCTGTTATTTCACTAATTTATTGACTGAACACTCAACTACTGTCATATTATCCTCTCTTTACTCACACTTCTGTACATGTGCATAGCCCCCTAATCTAAAAATCTGTTTAGTGAATCTATTTTGAATTTATTTTTCATGGTCCTTGCATAAAATATTGTAGGGCCACTGAGGCCCCAGATTTGCTTACTGTTAGTTGATACTGTCCCTTCTTGTTCTTCTCCATTCAGCCAAACTGCAGGGCCTCTTGTCCGCTTCCACCAGTTTGTTTTTCTCCCCCAGCCACTCTGGCCACTCACCTCGTGCCCTTTGGGCATAAAATAACAAAATAACATGAAGCGCAGGTAAAACCTGACCTGTTTCTTGAGTTGAATTATGGCACATTACTAATGGACTGCACGGAGAAAATGCTTTTTTACATTTATTTGAGGATTCATCCATTGATCATCTGTGTAAGATTTATTTGTGCAGCCAGCAGTAGCTACCTTTCTATCCATTAACCGACATACATATATACAACATATTACAGATTTGAACAGAGCAATAGTCAATTGTGAGGAATACTGGATACATAAAATAAGTATAATATATTATTGATCCTGGAATATTAATCTACATAATTTGCATTTTACCATTTACTGTGATTTGTCTTATGAAGAAATAATGCCTTAGAAACATCTTTAATAAAAAAAACAGGCCTTTTGAATTTCTTTTCTTGAACTCTGCTGCATCCTAGTGGACTAATGAGGCATGAACTCCTAAACTGCAAGACACAAATGTATCAGGAGAACCATGCTACACCAAGGAAAATATGAGCCAGGTCCCTCCATTTGAGTGTTTTTTGGGGTTTTTTTGTAGATGGGGAGTTGACATTAAATACATTGCAATCTCTAATTATACATGCTTATCCTGTTCTCTAACTCAACCGGTATCAAGCCCTATAAAGGGGTACTTGTGATTTAGTATTGCACTTCCATAAAGTTGGGTGACTCATACTGGAGAGATTTAAAAATTAACATCAAAATTGAAGCAGCAGAGGCTGAAATGTCCTATAATATAATAATATACGTTTAGCCCCTAGTGTGGGTCAAGCTCCAAAAACACTGGATTCTAGTCTTCCTATAATGTGACTAATAGCATTTTCTTGTTATGCCCTTCCTGATGACATCGTCGGGCCATTGTCCCGAGAGCTAGAGAGGATGTACAAGTGTTTTCGCAGTATAAGTAGTGCTCCTCATAAATACATTCCAAGATGAAAAGCTAATAATAATAGCTTATAACAATAATAGATAGCAACACATATAAAAACTAAAAAAATAGATCGAAAAACAACTTGAAACCTTTTTGAGATCCCTTACTTAATGTTGCGAGAAGCACATTTCTTCCGGATTCGTTTTGGTGAAGAAGAGATGTATTTCAACAACACAGGCAAGATCTCCTCTCACCAGCATGCAAGTTGATTTGAATATATTGAGCGTGAGGCAGAGCTCATTTATCTTCTCCTCTGGCTCTCGCCCACCTCTCCACCTCCCTCTGCCAGTCAGTTAGTCAGTGTTGCAGACAGCACACACAGCTTCACTGGCAAGATGCAGATTGATAAGGGGTTCGGGCAACATAAGTGGGTGTAACTGGTAGGATTCGATACAATGCCAAACACACCCCTCAGGGCTGTAGCAGTCACGCTCCATTTCTGCTGCAGTCTTAGCCAAGGAACAAGAGATTTTTGCTTCATGTGAAGTAATTACATGTCTGTATTTCATACTGGAGAAGATGTTCCAGAAGCAGCTGCATATTACAAATCGCACATAGTAAAGTTGGAGGGGAAATGTTTATAGTTTCCATAATAACTTTATTATTTGAAACTACAGTTTTGAGTTAAAAATACTTTTTTTGAACAACAGTAAACAACACACACACACAGTGACAAGGTTGGGCGGATTCATCACAGTGATGATATTCATAGAGGCACGCTTTAAAATAAGTCAAAGTTAGTTTTTTTTTTATCATGTCTACGTAAGGATGACAGCAGGCTTTTCTGTTGCCCATATTCAACAAAACAGCATTTTCTAAAGGGTCCTCAGTCCCAGGACTTCAGATGAGCAGTAGTCATTGTCATGCAGAGCCCTAGTGTGCAAAACAGGCCTCTCAGAAACTCTATTTTGTAGCCCATAACATTCAGAGCAACCATCATGATGGCTGTGGCAAACAGTACCTATTTTCATGCAGCAGACTGTGCATGCATTGAGGACAAGGAGAGAGAAAGAGGAGAAACTCAGCACAGTTGAACAAACACCACACGCTGACATGTATGCATTTTCAGCTGAATATACTGTGTAATTCCCTATAAAATCCAAATATTTCAATATATGCAGTGGTTCTCAAACCTTCTAATGACAAAGACCCACAGACAGTTTAAGAGAAGATAACCATATCAAAATACAATCTGATGATAATTCATTAATTTATACTGATGAATAATAAAGAAAATAATGGCAGACCTAACCGCTTTTTATGCCTGGTGATATGTGATGTACTTATAATGCCCCTGGGAGCCAATTGGGCCAATTTGAGAACCACATCTCTCATTATACTGACTAATTGCTATGTAACAGCTGTAGGTTATTGCTGGTGAGGTACAGTTTGAACGGTTGATCCGAGCCCATGGTTCATTTAGCAGAGTTCATAGTAGCATTATTTTGAAATACCTGATAGTCAGAATACACACTGGATTTCTAAGCAACACCAAAAAAGAAAGAAAAGAAAGTTGGGACATGTTGGGAAACATGCTGATTCTCTGATGTGACAAGATTGATACACACTCAAGTCTGTATGCTAATATGGAGCTAAACTGAACTGAACTGAAAGATGTGTAGAGGTAAAGCAAGACTCTAGGTGCTACTGGGTTAAGCACAACTGGTGGATGTATGCTATTATCACAACAAAGTGCAAACATTCTAATTCTAGCCAGTTGCGGCAATGTTAGCTAGTTATGTGGCATTTGACTTTAATAGCCACCAATGGTAATAAATAACTAGAACAAGTCAAGGTAAATCTTAATTTGAATACACAGCACAGTTGGCATACAGAACTGCAAACTGCAGACATGTTCATCTACGGCTCTTAAATCTTCTGCTAACTGTGCTATTGTTGAGGCAAAACTCCAGGAAAAATCTAGTTTGCAGGACTGGGCAGAGTCCTGCCAAGGGGAGCATTAGAGAGGCTAGAGGTTATCTTCTGAATACATGTGATGGATACTCTGTAGTCCTCGCCAGACCATTTGATGACTACACTGTGGCAGGTAGAGATTAGGGGTCAAAGAGTTGTAAATCTAGCTAACAGAGCACGGGTCGTCTTTGCAGGGCTTGACATCCCCTTGCAGCAACTGGATCATAACAGCCTTGGTCAGGTAGCTGGAGGTGCCTCTCTTTCCCACTGGGGGTGTGTTGTAGAATGCCTCCATGTCATCCTGGCAGAGGCAAAGATGAGAAATGATCTTTGTAAGTTTACAAGATGTTTTTTTTAAATGCTCATAAAAGTTGTTTTAGAAATTGCATGCTATAAGTAAAAGAACATCCTGGCAGTATTATATGTCACAAAAGCTCTACTGAATTGGACAAGGGCAGTCTGTTTCTATTAGGCTTTTAAAAACCATTTAATTAGGCTAACCCTTGAAATGATCAGTGTATGGCTGGAACAGAAGCTCAATATTTGGGATCACTTTAGAAAGGTGATGAGATCATTTTGTGGCAGACACTCGCATTCAAATAAGAAAATGTTGTTATATCAGTTAACCTGACAGCCTAGAGCAGGGGTAAGCAACCTGCAGCTCCGGAGCCAGACGTGGCCCTTTAGCCTCTCTCCATTGGCTCCCTGTGGCTTTGACTAAAAAAATGTTACACAGCTACAGTGATTCTTACATTCTCCAACTGTGTAGTTGTGTAACCATTATATACGGAATGAAAAAAAAAATTAACATTCCGTCAACTAAAATGTGCGTCATATATTACGTCCTGACCCGCCGCCATTGCCTCTATATTTTGCCAAACTTCAATAGCGGTGGACATTAGTCTTGAGTCTCCTTAGCTAGTCTAGCTATGGATTCTAAATCAAAAAAAGAAGGAAAACACTGAATAATCCATGTTTACTGGTATGCTTGAACTGTGGTAAGCATTATAAGGCTAAAATATATTTTGCCAAAAATGTATCTTTTGAGAGTAAATGTTGCTGACCCATGATTTAGAGGGAAGCCACTCTACCTGCTTCTCTATGCCTTCAAAGCGGCTGCGATCCCTCTGGAAATCATTAAAGGCTTCCTTCACCAGGCCGTCCAGATCCACCTTATCGCTGAACTCCAGCTCTGGGTTTCTCTCCAGAACTATGGACACCACCATCAGCAGCTACTCACACAGTGGAGATAGAGACAAGGCTGTCAGAAACTAAACACATAATAACAGCAACATAGCAGAATGTATTATCTTTTTCAAGGTCTAAACTTGACTTAATCACACAAGGAATCTTTTAAACCAAATAGCAAAGAACTGCTACAACTGGAGCCACTTAATATCCTCACTGCTTGATTCTGGACAAACCGCAGTGCTTTAACAGAGATACAGTATGTGACTGACACCATAATAAAGGAGCAAAGTCAATGACATGCTGATTAAAAATCCATACACATTTAATTAGCTTCATGTTTTTTATTCTCTTCTATGCACTTTTGGTTGTTTTGGTGTTTATTTACCTCCACTATGATTTGTCTGTACTCAGGCAGGACAATGCTCTTCAGCGTGTCCTCCACCAGCAGGGAGAAGTTCATCTCATACATGGTCATGTCAGACAGTGTAGGTTGCTACAGAGAGACAGTAAGATTATAATTATCAGTTTTAATTATTTTGTTCAGATATGAAGTGTCATACTGAGTCGCCTAACTCCATAACTGTGAGCACGCAAGAGGCAGATGGTTGTGGGCTCTTGTCAATTCAGTCCATTTTTAATTCATTTTTATTAGAGATGCAGTTATTAGAATGGAATTGGAACTGGTTCCTCAGCATTTGGAAAATCTAATTTTCCAATACGTTAACAAACAGAATACCAGTTATTAGTACTGTTAGCCAGCACATAGGTGTTTACTGATAAAATCTTACCTCTTCATAACAGTAAAAGCACAGATGTTACTAACAACATTACCTGTGTATAAGGGGGAGTTATCAGTGTCTGAACTGTACTCCTATACTATTGAGTGTATGTTAAATAGGGAATAATGAAGTGATTTCAGACACTGTCCCGGTAAACCATGACCGTGTGGCAGTGAGACGAGCCAGCACGCACAATACCAGTACCTTGAAACTGAAGCAGCTAAATGGAATTCAGCTATTATTAATTTTCTCATTTAAACCTGTGATTTTCCTTCTGTGATATTTTAAAATGTCTTTTAAAAAGGCAGCAAAGCAGAACACTATTAATGACATCCCTGACTATTGATTCTGATAATAAATAATAATTGTAACAATGGAAAGTGATTAAACAAAGAACAACTTTGCAGATTTGTTTTTTTCAATGAGACTTACAAACTAAAAGACCAATTTATAGTATGCAAAGTCAAAGCAATACATTTTCAGTGGAGACACTGAACACGTTAAATTGGCTTAGGTACTCTGTATTACTATACTTTTTTGTACTATCTGGTCCACACTTGCAAAAAAAACTAGCCCTTGAACCAAGCAATAAATGGGAGCAACACTCTTAATCAGATTTTTTCAGGTATTCTTTAAAAGACAGCAAAACACAGAGTGTGTGTATGTGAGGGATATAATTTCATATAAAATTGAAAATGCAGTCATGCAGGTTTCTATTAACTGTAGCTGTTTGTATAGCAGAACACAATACACAGTGTCACATTTAACCAGCATTGTTCAGAGTATTCAACCTGCAGCAGTGTACCTGTGGGAGGTGAGTCCCAGCCACCACAATACCATTGGGGGTCCTCTCCAGGATCTGCCACACACGATCATAAAAGCCCAGAGGGGTCCTGTTCAGAGACCCATCGATCTGACGCCTGTTCAGCCAAGACCTGTAGGGAAAGAGAGGTGAAACTGTTTTAAATACTGGGGAAATATAATGTTGATAGCCTCTGAGCTTAAGGAAATTGTCTATGAGTCAACGTGTATTAGATTAGATGAGATAAGATAAAACTTTAATAATCCCCATGGGGAAATTGGGTTGTGGCAGCAGCAGATAAAAGGATACGGATGTAGACAAGACAGAAGATAAAATAATTAAAACTCAAAAAGATTACACAACAAGTAAACGAATGAAGATAAAGACACGGCATCTTCAAAGACAGATTAAGTTTAAAGACAGATGAGAAAGCATGGGTAATGCTTTTGATAGTGTGAATGTGTGTTTGCAGAGTACCTAGCTGTGTGTTGTGGCTGCAGGACGTCCAGCAGGAGCTGCTTGATGTCGCTGGGCGAGAGTTGGTGGATGTCCAGAGGAGGCATGTCTCCTGCCCGGATCTTCAGCTCATGTTTCATGGCCTGGACAATCCATCTGGAGATCCATAGTGCATATGTTACAGTTTCACATTGCCTTTATCACAAAATGTATCTGGTTAAAGTTTATTATCGACTAGAAGGAACTCCTAACTCAAGAATGTGTATGTGCTGACGTTGAGAGCCCATCCTTGCTCATTTCTTCTTCTGTGGTTCTGACTATAAATTTCTTTACCCCTTCCCCTCTCCCCATTTTGTACAAATCCCCCAGTGGGAGAGGTGGGTGTCATTTCTTTTGACCCAGTCATTATCCTAATCTATTCCAATCTCGTATTTTATTCTTTTCACCTGCAAATTTCAATGAACTGCCACTCAAAAATAGTTGTTTTCATTTTTTCATTATATGTGTAGAAGCTGGAGTGGGGAGTAGAAATTATTATGGTTCTGTTTTTCAAAATACATGTTCAAAATAGTGTCCTTTTTTCAGTATGGCTTCATAGTTTCTTACAGCTCAGAATATCTTCATTTACAGTCAAAGAAATAAGCAAAGACCAAAGCTGACGTGTACGTCTAACTAGGCTGAGGGAATTTTGATAGTATAAAATGCTACACTGTAACAAATTTCTTCCAACGTTGTGCTTCTTTTGGACCACACATGTTCAGAAAAAATGCTTTATCCTTCTATTGCAGTACACTTCCAATGGAGCTGCAGTGCGGTTAATTTGGTGCAAAAACCAACTTCAGAAAAACAACCTGAAACACAAAGTCTCATTGGTATGGAAACAGATATTTCACACAAGCGTTCCTGGTGTTTTGATTTGCTAACAGCAAACTGTAGCCTGAACTGATGCTTAAATAAATTGATTTTTTTCATGTTTTGTTGAGTGGTCTTAATGCTGGGGAAGGAGAATACATACTGCATGAGGCCATCTTGCTTGACTAAATGTACAGGAGTTGTTAGGGCACCATTGCAACCATCCTGAACCCCAATTTGCCCTACCCGACTCTGATCTTCAGCATGCCGCTGAACAGCTCAGGGTTGTTGGAGATAATCCACCCAATATGGATAACCAGCTCTTGCTGAAGAACGGCCTCCCGCTCTCCGCCCTGAGGGGAGCACTTGCTGTAGATGATGCCTTGGATCACCCCTGGCGACAGTGGATTGGAGATCACCTCCTCCTCTTGGCCGAACAGACCCAGGGTCACCTGGTAATCGCAGGCATTGTGACATCACAGGAAAGAAAGCACACACCGGACCCACATACAGTTAGAAAGTGCAGTGCAGAAGAAATGTTGTGCTTAATATATCTAAACTTTTGTGAGTATATGCTTATCCAGGTGCACGTGTGTGAAAGTGTGCACATGTGTAAATTGGCATCTGTGCACAGCACTTCCTCCAAGGTGCAATTCCTTTAGGTATCTTTGTTCCATCTCTCTAAAATTGGCCTCCTCTGCCAGAGTCACATAAAAGTAAGTGGGAAAAAAATGACATACCTCAAGATTGCTCTTTTGTATTTTTTGTTTTTTTGTTCTGAAAGCCATCACATGAAAAATTAAACTTCGCCAGTCTTCCTGATGAGAGGACTCACTTTTATCCTTGCCTTCAGAAGCACAACACTTTAAAAATGTATCATTCGTTTTTACATGGGAACTGATTCTAACTGAGCAAAGAACAGCATGGAGATGGAAATGTTTGGAAATGACCAACTTTGAATTCAAGTAGAAATATAGAAGAAATATAATCAGAACTAGAGTCAGAATTTACTTAAATGGGGAGGCAACTCTTATTCCTCCCAACAGGGCTGTTATTGTAAGCAGAGGAACACAGCCGTCTCAAATCTTAAATCAGCTTTTCCAATCATGTTGAGAGGAGCATTTCCTCCACTAAGCAATCTATATGCAGATTCACACCTTGAGCTACTTGAGCATAATGAAATGCCTAAAACTGTTCAGAAGGGTAAAAATGAGGCGAGATAACTGACACTCTAGAGAGGAGGCTAATCTCTGAATAACACTTGACAGGAATTGATGCACCGAAACTCATCCAGCGTGAGGGAGTGGCATCGGACAGATCCCTGGGTCACAACACATAAACCTGCATATGGAGTGTGTCTAGACACGGGGACACGGTGCATATTAGCATTTTGCGCTGGTCACACTGGCAGCCTTGCTACAACTACAGCTTAGATACACACACAATGGAGGTGAGCTGTGATGAGGAATATGAGCATGCAGCTAGCCTAAGTCATTCACATAGGATGACAGCATGAGGAGCTTATAAATGTATATCTTCAATTTCATGTCTTTAAATCAGTGAACATTAAAATCATTGTCCCAACATGCCATTTTCCCAAAAATGATGTACAAACTTTGTACAAAATTATTTGTACAAAAGGGATGGTAAACTGCTCAGGCCCTGATCTCTGTGTGTCCACTTACCTGCTTGCCATGCACTAAAACACTAGTAATACTGGGGGCAAGGCTGTCCACTAGCTTAGTTAAGAGACAGGCGGCAAGACGGACAACAGACCTAGTGGGCGAAAAGACACAAGAACAGTGATTTTTATTATGCCTAATAAAATATTGAATATGTGGAGAATATGTTGTGCGGCCTGGCCAAACATGGTACCATTACTCAAATATTTGATTCAGCATAATTAGAAATACATACAAATTTCACTGACATGAAAGGCAATAATTTGCTAGTTGCTTCCTTTTCTAATTGTAGCAACTCAATGCCCCCAGATTTAAAAACCATCCAAACATCAGAATGAAATGAATGAAAACAAAACCCACGAATGATTCCTACCATGTAAGAAATAGCTAAATGTGTTAGTCCCAGTCTCAGTGAATGAATCTGATTTAGTTAATGAAAGCCCCAAATAAAGGTTGGCTTCCCTGAAAATATTTTAATGTTCACTAATTTCTCAGTTCATTATTCACTAGAGTCACTGCAGCCTTCACACTGCCTCCCCTTGCCTGCGGGAATCCTATGATGAAAAAGCAGCACACATAAACTGTGGTTATCTTCACAATGTAGACCACAGCCAGGATTGCTATAGACACAAACATTGAGTTAAGCCATCCTCACAGAAGCAGTGAACAAATAAAATAATTTCATTAAAGGGGTCACAAATACAATCAGCTGAAACACAACCTCTGCTTATTATATGCTGAGAACTTCTCTAGTATAATCTATGTGTGTGTGTGTGTGTGTGTGTTAGTGCGCGGAGTTATTCAGTGCTTAAACCTGCGGAAATACGAAGGCACATCTTGAGCACAAAGCCTTAATGTTTAGAAAGCATGATGTGGTGTCAATCCACTGATGCTTTGTTGGGGAACCTATTTCAAGCTTCACTTCCTGGCCCATGTTAGGTAAATGAGAAAGTAAATTGAACTGAGTATTGATGTTATTTCCCAGCCAGTTGAAAACCAGCCTCCAGGACTTTTTTTACTCCATGGCATAATCAAATTTCTCGATGGTAAAATCACATTAATTAACAAAACAGCATATAATAGAAGTTGTCATGTCAGTCAATCTGACAGAAATACAAATCAAACCATGGACACAGAAAACAGTGACCACTAAAGAAGGGAACAAACGCTCACATGAGAAGTTGTGACAACCATCTATAATATTTGGTCAATTCTTCGTGAGTCAGGCCAGCAGCATACACCAAACAAAATCGAATTTTAGCAAAGATCAAAAAGAGAATGCTAGTTTGTTTGACTGGAACGTCTTGCCAGACAAACATTTCATTTAACTTTGTTTGTTATAAAAATAGATTACACTATTTTTAGGACTTTGAAACACAGATTCACACGTATCCTTGCTTTGAGAAACATGAATACTCAAGATGGTGCAATCCAAAAGAAACTGGAAAACCTAATAGATATAGAATAGAAAAATACAATTACAACAGTCAATGTGAAAGGTCACCTTTAAGATGCAGAAGGTGCTACAGTGTTCAAAGGCAACCATAATCCAAATAGGTTATGTAAATCCTGTGAGACTAGTGTTTTTGAGTTTCATTTGTTCTATACACTGTATGTATATTTATTTTTGATATGATGAATTTGCAAGAGGTCTCTCCCACAGCAACTATCAAGCTCCTCCTTCTAGCATGGACAGTGAGTGTAAAGACATGTATCGCCTTATCCAATAGCCAAATTATATTTCATTTGGAGTATACAGCCAGCCTTATTGCAGTTGGTGATGGTACAGAAACGAGGGTCCAGCCTCTTTGATGGTTAATGAAGAAAGCAAACACTGAAGACAAGCTCCTGTACACATCTGACTCAAAGCGCCTGCTGGCTTTGACTAATCGGCTTGGCCAAACTCATGACTGTGTGAGCGTTAGCCATCTTATTATGCTAAACCTGGTGGTTCAACCAGAAATAGCTTTCACTGGTTTTAGCCAGATGCTATGATAGCAGCCTGCTACTGCATTACACCACCTGTTACCAGGCTGACTACTGGTCACTTTAAATATTTACTTAGTTAAAACTGTTTTCTTTGAAGGTTTTCATATATTTATTTATATAATAAATGTATTTTATACATTTACAAAGGATTTATATATTTTTTATTTAGCCCTTCCAGGAAATGTCGGCTACACACTTAGCTTAAGTCTTTATTTTAATGTGCTCATTTACATAAGGTAATGAAAGAGTAAAAATATTGACTCACAATATAATATAATTGAGTCACAAATCTTAAAAAATTGAATATAGCAAATTTTTCTTTCTGACTTTTAAAAAGCACTGCTGATATCCTGCTTATGAGGAAAACTGGCTGAACTTCACACAGCTTTCAAGCTAGCCAGCTAGCTATAGCCGCGTTTCCACCCAAAGTATATGGAACTTTTAGTCCCAGGAACTACTTTTCAAGGAACTAAAAGGTTCCTTCTGCACGTTGTTGTCAGCTGATGTATGAAAAATATATATTTATTGTATATCATATACTATAACTGGACATCATCAGTTCATCAGTTGTATTTTTTGTTCTGTAATTCCATGATTTGTTGAGGCACAAAGAACAAAAAAACAGACTTGTTTGTGGCATTTTATAAATGGTGGTTCAGCGCTGCAAGCCCCACCCTCAAATTTCCTCTACTGTAGTTCCAAAGTACTACTCCCGAGCATGGACTTTTTGGGAGGTAAAATATAGTCCCCAGAACCCTCCAAAGTTCCTCCAAAGGTTCCTAGTCCCTTAGGAAACTTCCTGTGGTGGAAACACAGCTAAAGACTGGGAGTGAACATGCAGAGTCTTCAGTCCATCTCTGCCTGAACATTACCTGTTTCCCATGCACCAGTATTGTGGTGATGTGAGGAGCTATAGAGCTGGCGAACTTCTTGATAATGGCAGCAGCACTGCGCACTGCCAGCCTACAGTTCGGCCAGATTAAATAACAGTTATTTTAAAGTGTCAACATGAGAAAAGATCTTGTGAGGATAAAATCGGGGACACAGCAGGTACAGAGACAAGACATTTGGTTAAGGGGACATCTCATACAGTTTTCCAACATAAACTCCCAACCCCTTTTAGTTCACACAAAATTATTCAACAGAGCAATAATTAAAAATTACTTAGATCAATGGGCAACAAAATAAAATACTAATTTTAATGAATGTCACCACTGCCTACCTAAGCAGCATGTGGCAGAACGTCTTGCTTTCTATTTCGGTGCCCATGTTAACAGATTATAGCCTGAGTCGCTGCAGCTGTCACAACGCTTCATTGGAAAGTTAATGTCTGGCCTATTCTTTCCTTAAACCGCGCACAGTTTCCAGCAAAAACAGTGAGTGAAAAGGATCTGCTTATAGTCGTACATTACATTATATAGCAGCAACATATACACCTTTCATTACAGTTTCAATATCTGTATCTGTAGAATGTCACAGACATGGAAACAAATAAAATAAAATGTTCTCCCATATCTGTTTTCAGATTCTGTGGACAGAATCCATTCACATGTTAACAAGGATTTTATTGAATGCTATTTATCGAAGGCCAATTCTATATAATAAGATAGCGCTGGCAGCAGCCGCTCCGCAGCAGCTCTGCAGCTAACACGCTGTCGGTGTAAACACCAAGCGTGTGCCAGTCACAGCTTTTCAATACCATAGCCGCCACGCGCTGCTCAGGTCGGCAGTGTGAACCAAGTGTTAGTGTTTATGGTACATGGACTCTATAATGAAAACAAATCTGATCTGGACTATGTAAGGTAAGAAAATTGAGAGAACAGTGTGTATTTGTTTGTGTGTGTGTAAGAATATCAGACCAAAGCTTTCTGCTGCCAGCTCTTCTGTAGATTCTCTCCAGTTCATCCATCAGGTTCTCTGGAATCAATCACAATGTTTGTGTTAAAGACAGACAGATATACAGTCATATCCACATTTATCCTTTGTTCTCTGTCAATCACAGGTGCTTGATAAGCACATAGAAAAGCATCATTCAACAGCACCCTAAAGACTTGAACTTCATCAAAAGACTGATGAATGCACTGAAAAGGGGTTTTAAATCCGGGATAAAATGGACAGATAATAACGTAAGCTGCTAACTGATCACATTTCCTTTGTATTTAACGAGAAAACTGAGAAAGTCTGCTGTTCTGTTTCAGTGCATCTAGTGACAACTTCTTCATGCTGCTGACTAACTCGCAGTGTGTGTGCTTACCGTCTTTGGCAAGGAAGTCTGGTCCTTCTCTCCTAAGAAGGATGCCGGCAAGCTGAGCCTGACTGGCCAAGCAGTCACAGTCCTGACACACACAACACACACACACACACACACACACACACACACATAGACAAATGGGAAGATGAGTCTGGTCAAGCATACAAACACAAGTTATTGCACACTGCATATTCTATATACAGCTGCAATATTATCCACTCACAGCAAGCACTAACAAGGCATATTGAAACTATTATCATTACCAAATTGTTTTCCGCTGTCATCCAAGTGTGGTAATAATGGCTACGTTTTTAAAGTACTGCCTTGTTTAAAATTTAAACTTGCCTTAATGTGCCTAAAATCTGGGAAAGAAATAAGCATTTTTAAGCATGTCAGAGGATGATTAAGGTAAATAATTTATTGTTTTTATTATTTATGATAGTTTACTAAAAACACAACAAAGTCTGATGTAGATGTGGCTTTTCAGACTTTTTGTCTGACTTCTATCCTGAATTCCTATTTGAGCCAACAAATTACAATTGCCGAAGGGGTGTGCTGAAGTTTGGATTTTTCCGAACACGAATGACCACTTGAAAACTTGAACTATTCATGTTCAGAGCCAGACTGAAGAGTGCTGTTAATTGTGAGCAGACTTGGACGGATGTAACCAAAACCTGGGCTCCAGGAAAAATGTTTGAACACATTTATAAGATTGTCATAATAAAACAGGAGGCAGGTGGCCAAGTGAGCCTCGACAAGAGTGGGAGTTGTCAATGAGCCATACAAATACTGTGGCAAAACGTTCCCGCAATTCTCTGAGGGGGAGGCAGGTGGTTGTGAGATGTTTACCCCAGGTGAAAAGAAACCAGAGGTTTGTTGATTAATAGGAATACATTTTGAGTAATATGAATTTCATGTTTAACTTTCACATTTCAATGGTTAAATGTTTGTGTAAAATCCAAATGAAGGTTAGATTCTGTTCTTCTGGCAGTGCTGCTACGTTTGACTGTAAGAATCTTTCTCATTTTTCTCCACAGTTTACAGATTTCTTAGGCTGTAGTCCTTGTCACTGCTAACTCTCACTGTTTACCTGGGGGTGGCTGCAGACAGTCATGTGTCACCTCGAATACACATTGAAATGCAGACGCTTCTTTTCACCTGCCACTCTGACTAGCGCACTGACAAGAGCATGATTCATCACCAGTGTACCCGTGCAAACACTACCTATGTGTTTATTGTAATGTATGATAAGTACACAGACAAGCCTCAGGATCAGTGCTCAGGATTTATTGCAGCACTCTTTGATGGGGGAGTATATTTCACCTCTGCCCAACATGTAACTTTTTTACTGCTTCTGCCAGTCTTAGTTAAGGAAACAGTGAATAATATAATAGCAATGTACCAACTACTGCTACAAATGTAGCAACAGTTACACCTAGCAACATTTGCTGCTTGCTACTTTTTGACCCTAGTTAAAATATTGCCATTTTATTCGTATAATATTGTCAGACAGTTTTAGTTAATGGTTAAAAAATTCTCGTTCTGCTGTGAATGAAACTTGTCATTTTAAATATTAGCAGAGATTTATGTATTTACTTTACTGCTCCTCTGCTTTACTCATGTTTCATATTTTGTTAAAAAGAATTCTTATTTTAATAGCAATTATTAATCCCAATATGTATTTGTGAGCCCTGTTCGCCAAAAGCCAATGAACTCACATGGAACTTCTGGATGATCTCATTGGTCGGCTTGTGCAGCCACTCCTCCACACTGATCTCTGGCTGCTGCTCCAGGTCTGAGGCGTTGGGTGTACTCGTCTGTCTCTTCACCTTGGAGTGCTTAGGCAGCTCCAGCTCCTCAAAGCTCTTAAACTCTGGGATCCTATGTACACACACACACGCCAACACACAAGTTACGCCATGTGTGCTATTGGCTGGCCTGTCCACAGAAATGGCTGACCCCCTGAGAAGGTCCAGCAAATGGGCCCTACCCAAATGTGTGCTACTCATATAAATATGCACATGCTCTTTTTCTTCTATGTAGCATGATTATTACTGGCCTTCATGGGCTCCCCTAGCAGCTGGGCCCCAAAAAATTATCCGATCAGTAGACATATGCAGTTGTTGTACTGTTACTGTTTTTCTATTTGAAACATCTGAGGCTACAAACAAATGCTGGCATCATTCCTTTGACAATTTGTTATTTTACACTTAACTGATTAATTGGTCATGAAAACATTCATAATCAAGAATCTATGTCAGTTATATTGCCATTATCAGATTTACATCATTGAAATCCTTAGTGATTAAAAAAAAAATCCTGCCAGCAGACTAACTAAGAGGGGCAAAAGTTCTGACCTTTGACACATTAAGTATAAAGACTAGAGGAAGCTCTTACTCTGCCTCGTTGACACGTAGGAAGTCCAACTGCTCCACCACTGCTCCAGATATCAGGGTCTTAAGGAAGAAAAAAGGCACATTAAATTATTTGCTAAGTCATTATTCTGTCAATGTAGACTCCTACACAAGAGATACCACAGTAATACACATACAGTACAGATAGGAGTAAATCAGAATCAGAATCAGAA